TCTCGCGTTTAGCTTGGCCTGAGCGACGCCATTTCAGAATCGTTTAGCAGCCTCTGATAACATTTATGTTTCAGCTCCCCTCCAAAGCATGGTGCTGCAATTGAAAGTAATCAACTCAATCAACTAGAGCCGTTACTGACCGATGCAGGCGCTTGTCTGCGACCTCTGGGCTTCCAGCGCGGCTTGCTCAGCGGCGCTCAGCTTGCTGAGGCTGGCATGATCATACTGTATGGAGCACCCACTGGTTGATCTGCTTGAAGAGCATGCAATGTCAAATGTGAGCAAGAGACAGAGAACAAATTCTAATGCAGCACAATGAAAACCGTGCCAGTAGTCCAGAATTTTCACGACAAAAGTCAGACTCATGGAAATGGAAACACCAGCTGTCTTGAAGACTAATTTAATATTGCCAAAGTTTGGGAGGCTCGGCTTGGACAGACCAAATTGCAGCTAACTGAAAAGAACGTCAACAAGTGTTCCGCAGTCTAAAGTTTTCTCGGATTACTTAGCTTCTTCAGCGAGGCTCCCAACCCCAATAGGAGCAAACGTTGGGCGTAATTTACTTCGTCTACGACTATAACTATGGCTTCATCGGCCTTGCCCGGTATATTGCTGTCCAGGATCAACCCCGGTGTCCTTTGAGGTCGTGATGGGGTCACAAACTTTGTGAACATCAAGTGTTCAGGTCCTGCCTAGACACTTGACTGCCAAGCATATGAAGCTGCAGGCCTGTAGCCGGACTTCGCAGGAGGCTCTGCTGCGCGTGGCTGCAGCAGTTCAGCTGCTGAAGCCTGAGCTGTTGAAACCCACAACTTTGAGCCCAAACACTTCAGGCACAACTGCGTGTTTGCCACCTCAAGAAGGCCTTGCTAGCGCGAAGTTTCACCAATCGGGCTGTTCTGTTGCCAAGAACTCTGATGTCACTAGACAAAACCGAACAGGAATTTTCCCCAATGAAACGTGCAGTGCTTTTTTTGTTTCTATTTCGGCCTTGTGCTAACGGAGAAGAAACGACAAGGTGAGGTTGCGACCTTAAGCGGCATGACCGGCCACTTTGACAACTTTGTCTCGAGGGGTTTGCTATCTTTTCTGCAGCCTGATAGATTTTGCCGTGAAGGCTCTCTCTCCCTTACCACATCCCCTCCCAATGCACAGTTCTCTTATTGCCCTGTGCTCAACATGACGCAGAACCCGGGTGCTTCTCTTCAGAACTTGCAGACCCTCAAATTGATGCGCAAAACCCTGAAGCATCTCACCTCACCCAACCTAACGACCCACAACTGCGACTTGCGATATGCCTACACAAAGCTAAGGAATGGCAGCGGCTAAAGTAAATAGTAGCAGCATGTTTTCGCTGCTGAGGTGTGGACGTTGGTCTGTCGCTCTCGCGCCAGAGCCTCTGCAGCTGTTGCCTCATGGACAGGTTTCTTGCCTGGAATGTTAGCACGTTTTTTATCTCCACGCAAGCCTTCCGACAAGCTTTAAGAAGGAAGCTTTGAGGCACCTTTCCTACTTCAGATGGAGGTTCCAAACTGAAAAACACTGTCTGGGACCGTGGACCCGGGAACCTGCGCGAGGAAGTTTAGGGACGGTCTTTGCGTTAGATCTAAGGAAATGTGCTGATAGCAGCTCTAGGACTCTGGATTGTCCTTCTATCGTCAGTTTCCTGCCTGAGCTTGCCTGAGCCTGCAGCTCCCGAGCTTCGTGAGACTCAGCTATTGCGCAGGCCCTGAGGAGGTTGCTCGGATGTTGGCAACGGCCGCCGCTGCAAGTGCATTGGCAGCTGCGGACATCTGTCAGATCTTTTATCCTTCGTAATGTCTTGTGGCCTGTGTTCCCAGTAATCAGAATGCATGCAGCCGCAGCATATGCTTGATCATGTTTGTTTCCGGACAGTATTCGGTCTAAAGCACGGTTTGACAGCTGCATGTTGCTGCGGTTGTATGGTGTGTTCAGGTTGATTGCGGGTTCTTACTCCTGACGCGTAGGGATCATGTATGGGGTCTGCTGAACTCAGCAAATAACCATTGTTCGTGCTTGCTGGTTCTGACCACGCTGGCAAATGCTGCGAACTGCAGCCGGAAGAAGCTTGCAAAAACAAAGCGACGTCTGTCTACCTGAGCGACCTCTGTAGTTCATGGCGTTCATGGTCTTATCGTTTTGCGATATTTTGAATCACGGCCCCGCAGCACATCCGCTTGGTATTTGATCTTGGGGCTGTTGCCGACATAACTACATGATACTACATGATCATGCTGGGGTGTGCATTTGCACTTCCTTGTAAGCTGCAAACCTGATGTTTCTCGCGCAGTAATTGGCCCCGGTAGAGTTCTCGGACGAACTCTGGTCCTCGACGCTAAAGAACTGTCCCAGCTACTCTTCTGCTCTCTTACGTGCAGAAATTCGGCTGCATAACCTATCAGCACCCTGTGATGACACTGGAAGCTTCGGCCCGCTGCTCTGAACAAGACTGGTGCTTTTTCTGCCATCACGCAGGTCTGTCTATCAGCTACGACTTGTCAAACAATTTGCCGCTGACGACATTCTCAACGGCCTTGCCTGAAGCAACTCTCAAGACGGCTTCCCAAAGGTAATCGCTTGCTACAGCTTGACTTGTCTGAGTCGAAGATAGTTGATCGCAAGCAGTTTTGCAGAATCGGATGAGGCACTAAGCGCACGCGCACACTGCAAACCCAAGAGCAATATGCTGAAGCCACACTTCTATCCAGCAGACTTCGGCCAAGTTACAGAGGCATGAAATCCTGAAGCCCAAAAAAAGCCGAGGCTGACACCAAAAGTTTCTCCAGCCAGTCCCATTCTCTTCTGCATCTGCTCGTCGGCCTTGGCAACGGACTTGGCGTCCAGTTCTTGGCGAATTCTGGCAGGAAGGGCTGCAGGCTGCAGGCCTCTGCTGCAGGCGTGCCGGATGAAAGCCTGCCACAGAGAGCTACCACAAATGAATAACCTGCACCCCTTGATTATCCATGTAGAGGCGTGCTCTCAGGCAGAACCTCCTTTCGATGGGCTGCTCTGTCTCTAGTCTCTCGACACTTGCAAGCTTTCAGCTTGGGATGAGCGCCACTTGAGCTCTTCAAAAGCCCGAGTCGCAGACTTTTCCAGCATCGCATCGATGGCATCCTCAGACGGAGGCCTTCAGATGCAGGGTTTGACCATGTCTTGAACTGTCCCCAACATTGACTTTGCTCTGAGTCCGCGCGCTCGCCATCCTCGTTGATGACCTTTGCTGTTGAAGGCTGGAAATGCACGCAGTTTGCCTCCCATGCTTGGTCCTAATGATCTTAATGCCTCCTAGATCAACCACTTCACCTAATCCCTTCCCCATATTAATAAAGCCCACCCTAATAATAAATAATAAATCCGGGACCCTAAAAATCCTCATGAGCATTTTAAAAGGGGCTGTACTAATTTTAAAAGGAGCAGGACCATAATGAATTAGGGGGGGTTTTGAGGTCATTAGGGGGGTATAATAGAAAATCCAAAGGAATTAGGGATCCCCTTGACATCCTAG